TCCCCTAGACCAGGTTGCTCAAAGCCTCATCCAGCCTGGCCTTGAACACCTCCAGGGATGGGACATCCACAAGTTTTCTGGGCAGTCATGTTGACCTTCTCATCAACCAACATCCACAAGTCCTTCTCTTCAGGGCTGCTCTCAATCCATAAACCCCCTCACTGGTCTTCTCTTGTTTCACATGGGGATTTGGGATGGTTATTGCAGATAACAACCAGGTACAGTTCCTCCATCACTCCTGAGCTTTTCTGGTGGGGTAGCAGTGAGGAGGCAGAGACAAAATGCTCCTCTGTGGTGGTCACTGACCTCTGCAGGAACACTCGGGCAAGCTGAGGCTTTCAAGGGATCAGTCAAAAGGTGCAGCAGGTCTCCTCATGGCCAGGGCACCGAGTGTCTACACATTAGGTAGGATCTGAGTCTGGAGTCTGAAATCCCAAATCCTCACTTCAGGTCTCTTAGGGGAAAAAAAGAGAAAGAGGAAAAGAGGAAAAACGGAAAGGTTGTTTACAGCTCATTTACCAACATACCTGGTGGACCAGGATCTCCTTTGGGTCCAGGAGGCCCTGAAATAAATATTTAATGGATATTTTCAGTAGTACGCACTTGTTGATGAGCATACCAGTATGGAGTTGATAGGCTTGAGGTCTGGTCTGAAGACAGCACCCTTTTTGGAGGGCACCCAGAGCCCAAGCCTGCAAGCTGTGGGAGGGGAGAGCAGCCCAGAGCTACGTGTGCAGCTGCAGTGGGATCCGGGGGGGTGTGTGGGGCTGTGCTCTGGGTTCTCCAGCTGTGTCCAGCTCCCCAGCCAGGGCATCCAGAGCCAGTATCCAACCCTGGGTGCAAGGGCATCACTAACTGACAGGAAGACCAAATTTTGCCCTAGCTATTTGCTCATCTGAACCAGGTTTTTGGCCCAGCTTTGCCAGTGGTGCAGAGGACCCAGCTCTCCCCCTGCACAGCCAGCATGGACAAATGGAGCTGTACCTGCAACCAAGGTAATGTTGTTCATCATCATCATCAGGTCTGCATTGCTGTTTTTGATTATGGTGATTTCTTTTTCTAAGATTCTCCTCCAGTTTTCTTCATGTCCCATGTGCTTCTCTGTAGAGTTTCTCTCCAAAAACTGTTTGTTGGCAAAGGAGCTTTCCAGAATCTCTTCTGTGTAGGAGGTATTTTGCTCTTGAAATTTCAGTATCTCTCTCTGCATCTTGAACACTGAGGAAACAAAAGGTCCATGCAGTGAATATTCCCTGCTTGATCCATCTGGGAGATGCCTGTTTGGCAGAGCAGGTCTTCAGCACCTGTGGAGGACACCATTTGACCCGGGGAAGTGGTTTTCATGTGCCAGCCCTTGCTGCAGCCTGGAGCACAGCCAGGAGTGCTTTTGCAAATGCAAAGCACACGTACAGGGTGGGGGAATGGTTTCCCCCAGGGGCTGCTTTGACTTGTGGTCTGTGGAGGAGCATCTGTGCTCCTTCTGAGGTTTCCTATTTGGGTGCTCATTCTCGCTTGCCCGTGCCCCCCTCGAGCACCCAGCCAAGCTGTGTTTTGACGTCAAGCCCATGGTAAGTTTGCAGCTTTACCTTTGTACACCAGCAGCCCCTGGCCAGCCGTCAGCAGCAGCAGGTAGACAGCAAGGGCCGACCGAGCACAGCATGTGGATGGCTTTCTTTGGCTTCGAGGCTCTGAAAAACAACAGAAGTAGGGTAGACGTCTTCTCACATCTCTCCTTCTATGAGCTCTGCTTGCTTTCAGCCATTTCAGGCTTGGCCACAATAAATGAGCAGCGACAGGGAGCAACGAGGTCCCTCTGGGAGGCTGCCAGGTCCTGCAGGCAAGTCAGGCTGCCTTCTTCTCCTCTGGGCTTTGCACCGCAACTCACACTTGGCCGCCTTTTCCTCAGCCAACTTAACCAGCTCACTTCCACCAAGACTTAATCCAGCCTATAACAGTCTGAATGTGGTGGGTCTCCCTTTTCTACATGAATAAACTCCCCATTTCCTTCGTTTTTAGTTGTCCCAGGCTGCCATTCAAAGAGGGTTGCTCAAAGCACATCCACTCTCCATCCAGAGCATCACATACATGCGATTCCAACAGTGAGGCACATACACATCGAAACAAATGAAAAATCAATAGTAAACTGAACTGCAGAACAAATGAAAACAAGTTGTAACATTTAAAACAAATCGTCATCAGCAAGTGTAAAAGAAGTAAACTGCTTTGTCAAATTTTGGCCTTTAGGGAGAAAGAAGTATTTCAGAAGCATTAATAACTACTTCAGACATTCAGTCAGTTACCCTTAATTGAGTTTTTTCAAAGTAATGTAATCAGAAGTTCAAAGTCCAAGCTTTAAAAGAGTACAATGATTTAATTACTTTTACAACAGAATGGTTTAGTCAGCAATGAAGTATTTATATTCAGCTGAAAATTCATAAACTTACATTTTTTTATTGGATCTAGTGATTTCAGTATCTTAACTATGAAGACATGAAAGTTTTACTCAGTGAAATTAGGCATTTTCTAAAACAGGAAAAGAACTAATTTTTTCTGATTCTCAGAATCAGCTTTTGGCTAGAAAGGACATTTTCACATACTTCCCTTTTTAAATGGTCAGTTAATTTAGTAGCGAAATCACTGTAAAAAGCATTTAATATGCAGTATAAATGCAATAATTCATTTTTAGGTGCTGCTTTCTTCATAGACCAGATAAAATCCATATCAATCCATTTAGTAAAAAGAAACCTTACCACTTATCTGAAAGGTTGTGGTAGCAGCTGAGGCAAACCCAATCTTGTCTGAAATACTGAAAGTGTTCATATCACTCAAATTTCCATCTTCTCCGTATCTGTCTTTAATTTTCATGACAAATTTCTTGTGGCTAACCTAAAGCCTTGTCAGATTATGGACAACAAAGAACTTAAGGGACTTCCTATCTGCCTGCTGATTTGATACGCTTTCTGATATGCTTTTCCTATAGCTGCTCAGTTTTTATAGACTTGTGAGAACTCTGATGTGGTAATTCGAACAGTTCCTCAAAAAATCCCACAGCTAAGATGTTCAGCTGTTCTTCTGTGCTCATTTGAGGACACCATGTCCACAGAGGCTCGGGCAGGATCCTGTAAAAGGTTCAGCCCTTAGTTATTCCACATCTCTGCACTTCAGCAAGGTTGACATGAGGTGCCCATTTTGCTCCTAATACAAGGAAACCTCCTCATGTAGCCAAGAAGATCCCAGGTTCAATGTTAGCTTGGAGATCCACCCCCTGGGGTAGGAGGTGAAGCACTGTGTGGTAGTGAAAAACATTAACTTGCACCAAGATGACAGCTTAATGATGGTGCGTGACTGAAGTGCAAGGAAGGAAAGAATCAGGAGGAGTTGTAAAGACAAGTGAATTATGACAGGGTGGGGGATGCTGAAGCCCAAATGGGTTTGGGATGTAATGGAGAAGAGACACTTGCAGCCTCCTTGCTGAGACTCTCTCCTGTCTCTGCTTTCTCCCTGACCCATTTTCCACACCCACGGACACAATCCCTACCACCTCACCACTTCTTTGCTCACATTCTGTAAAACCCACCCCTGCAGACCTCACCGTGACATTTGGCATTTGGGCATCTCCATTTGTGCCGGGGTTGATTCTGACTTTGCAAAGCGAAGCGACTCACCCAAGCCCGCAGGCGTGAGCCGTCGGTAGGCGATGGGCAGAGCCCTCCGCGCCCACGCTGCTGCCACCACGTGCTGCCCTCTCAGAGGCACAGGGCAGTCCCCATCACACGGTCTTCTCCTTGGCTGCAGATTCATGCTCATCTGCAGGGCTGCTGGGTCCTCATTGCTTTCCATGGCCATGGAAGAAAGTGCGGCATAAGCTTCAGGTAGATGAGAGCTGGAAATCCACACCCTGACAGCCCAGTGCAGAATGAAGATCTCTGCCCAGTGCTTGACATATAGATCTCTTAAGGGTTAAACCAAAAAAATATGTGGGGATTTTTAAATCTATTTCTATGTTCTCCTTTGTGCAGCTGTGACCTGGATTGGCACCAGCAGGGAGGAAGAGGAGTTCTCTGTTATCATATATTCTGTTACACACTGCGTGGGAACTGGGACAATTTGTTTTCCTGTGAAGGGATCAGATACCCTTTTGAATCAGGGTGGCTGGAGAGGTTACCACCAACCAGCTGAGCCACAGTAACTACCTGTGCATCCTCTCCCTTCATGGCATCACCTCCTCACCAGGGTAAGGGCTCGTATCCAGCCCATTTCTAACAGTTTGGGTGGTTCAGCTGACCACTCTGCGCAAGCCTAAAGCCATCTACTTTTGCTGGGCCAGGCGAGGGGCTGCGTATGACTGCACTTGTGTAGCCAAGTGAGTGTTTATAGGGATGGGTGCGATTCAGGTGCACGCAGAGAGCAGATTTACAGCAGCAAGGCTTTTAACAACACATCTAGGCAAATCCATTTTATTTCAAAATTATTATAAAGAAGCTGGCAGCTGTAGTTTTCAAAAAGCCCTTCTAAAAGGCAAAAGGTGCAATAAGATCTTTGTGCTCTCCTTCCCTGAGAGAGAAGTTCAGGAGTATGTTTTCCCATCTCTCATGGTCATGCTGTAGCTGTGTCGTTCTCAGTGGCCCAGGTGGTATGGGTGTAAAAGCAGGGGTAGAGACCCCCGATTTTGACAGTCTTGATCCAGGGTTCGAAGCCCCATCCTCCACTTAGCTGTTTTGGGAACATCAAGAGCAAAGCCATGATCCCACCCAACATTGCCTGCCAGCTGCCATTGCCTACACAGCCGGTCAAACTTAGTTCTCCCCTTATTTCTCATTGATTTAGCCTCTGTGTGCTGCCACATTCCCATCAGCCAGGTGAGGATCTGGCTGCCTGGGAGCATCGCGGTGTGTTTCCATCTGGATGTCAGCCTCTGCAAACAGGCGACAGATTTCCCTGTGCACGTGGTGGTGGGGGTCTCAACCATGCCATGGGCTTCAGAGATCATGACACGCTTGCTCAGCCTTTGCGTGCACTTGCTGTCGCTGCCCCCGCCTTGCCTTCTGCTGTCTTTCGTTTCTTGCTGCACCATCACTGAAGGCAGCAATAGATTGACTCTGATTGTGCAATTGGGTTTACTATATCAGGAAAGAAAAATAAAGAAAAGAAACTGCTGATTCAGTGCAGTCTCCCTAGGTTGAGGGTTTGCTGAAACAATGGGATTATTAATAGAATAGCATTTTCCAGCACATTATGGGGCATGTCTGCTGGGCCATCAGCCTCACCCTCCAGGCTCTCTGCTAGGAAGCCCTGGCCCCTCTCCCTGCCCTCAAATGCTCCGCTGACATCTCAGGGAAGAGCCCAAAGTCCTCTAGTTCATCCCTTCCCATGGTCTGAAGTTGGTGGTTTGTGCCAGGCAGAAACCAAGACAGTTGTCCTCATGCTCTCATTGCAAAGGTGCATCACATCTGAAAAAAGTTTTCTAAACAGACAGCAGCTGCCTCAAGGTCACGGGCCCATGGGTAGCTGCTGAGGGAAGGAAAGGGAAGTGTCTGGTCCCTGGCCATGCCCACTGCCTTTCTCATCTCCTTTCACTGCTGTTAGCCACAGGCATTTGCCACCAACAAAAACTCATGGCAGAGTGAAGAGACGTAATCCCAAACTCTGACCTGGCATTAGCTAAAGACAGCACTTCGCAGCAGTGATACTGCCAGGGAGCTTGGACTGATGTTAACCTCCTCAGGATAAGCATTTAGCCTGAAAGAACTGAATTTGTGATTTTTTTAATTTTTTAGGGTTTTGGTTTTTTTTTTTTTTTCCCCCAATGAGAAGATATCCTAGTTCAGAGGTGTTTCTCCATTTACCTAAAATATGGTAATTTTTCCAAACTCATCTATTTGATTGCAGACACTCTTGGGCATAGATGGGCAGCCTTTGGTGCCCCTCCAAGGATGGGGAAGAGAGAGGTGATGGCGCAAACAGACCCCACGCTGGGTAAGCCATGGCAGCAACTGCCACCCTTTCTGCTGTCACCTCTAAACTGAAGTGAGAGTGGCAACCAGAAAAGGTGTCAGTCTACCCCTTATCCCAACAGCTGCACTCACGTTTCTGCAGATAGGCTTAAAAAAACCCCAAAAAGCAATCCTGCCCACATACCACACTGCTCTCCCACAGAAACAAGTAGCCGTGGTTTGACCTGGGACACAGATGATAGATTCACACCACAAAGCCACCAGCAACCAGAGCTGTACAACTGCCTCTGCAGTGGTAGGTTTGTTTGTAAACTAGCTTGGGGCTTTTTTCCTCCTTTTTGCCTGATTTTTTAGTTTTTTTCTCTTTTTGGAATGAACAGTGTTGGTGAATTGTGACACCCAGTCAGCTCTCGTGGGGCATTAACCCTGGGCACCAGCCAAACACCCACCCAGCTCGTCACTCAGTCCCCTCTCCCAAGGGGTGGGGAGAAAACAGAAGGAAGGTGAGCAGACTCATGAGTTTATATGATGATGGCTTAGTAAGGAAAGCAAAAGCTGCACTCGCAAGCAAAACAGAAAGAGGAATTCATTCTCTACTTCCCATCAGCAGGCAGATAGCCGGCCGCTTCCTGGAAAGCAGGGTCTCAGCATGCGTGATGGTTGTTTGGGCTGACGAATGCCCTAACCACAAACATCTCCCCTTCTTCCTTCTTTCCCTGAACTTTTGTTGCCAAACTTCACGTCATATGGTGTGAAAGATCCCCGTGGTCTGGGTCAGCTGCCCTGGCTATGTCCCCTCCCAGCCTCTTGCCCACCCCCAGCCTATTCAGATCCTTGACTCTGTGCAAGCACTGCTCACCAACAGCCAAACCATCGGTGTCACCAACACTGCTTTAGCCACAAATCCAAAGCACAACATCATATGGGCTGCTGTGGAGAATGTTACCTCCATCCCAGTCAGAACCAGTACAGCTCTCCAGTATGATGGTGTTTATGCTACAATGCCTTGTTCTCCTTGAGGAAGGACCAAGGGCTTTGATGCCCACAGACATCAGGAGGCACTGTTGAATGCAGGACATGCCAAAGGTTGTGAGTGATCTGCCCACTGGCAGCTCATGGAGGTGCCAGTTCTGGGGTGTCACTTGTGAGTGTCCCACTGACTGTGTGGCTCAGCCCTGGTCACCACCCCCTAAAAAAATTTGTGGATCCATCTCTAAGAGCAAGAGAAGATGTGGTACCTGGAGAGTTTCCATGCAGAAGAGAGACTGAGGCCAACACACAAGATCTAAACTGCTGTGATTTGTGCCAGGGCATTAAAACAAAGCTTGAGCCTGGACCCAGATGGGAGCAGGGCCCTTGTTGTGCAGTGCCCCGTGTCCCTACGTGCCCAGAACTGTCCTCAGGGGGTCTGGCTGCTGTGGTAGCACCTGGGCTCTCCTGGGACCACGGAGAAGCACTTGTGCTAAAGCAATAAAATCCCCAGCACTGCCTGGCTGACATTTCTCTTTTCCAGCTTGATGTGTTGCTTGGCTTTGTTGTAGAGATTGAAACCAGATTTTCTTTCCCTTCTATGAGTTATGTTAATTTGTGTTTCATCAGAACTTGCCTCTTCTCCTTTCCTTTTTTCCCCCCCTTTAGGCTGGATCCAGCTGCACCATGAATTCAAGAAACCACCTGCAAAATATTTTAATGACTTCAACCTGCTCTTTGAGGTGAATTAATACCAGGACAGCCTCTGCAGCATGGTGAAATAGTCAAGATTGGCTAAGTAGGCCACCCTCAAAGCTGAAAAATATGTTCTGCAAAGCAGCCATTCCTGAGAGGTAGCTGTTTTCAAGGACCTTGTACAGTGCTCCTCACTTCAAAGAAAGTTGTCCCTATTCAGGTAAGAGCTGGAGACACCAGCTTAGA